CCCCCTGCTTCTTGTGGTCCTAGTAGTAAGGCCAGAAACTACTAGTAGCGCCCAGCCTTCAAGTGGAACCGACGGTAAAATTACCAGGTAAAACCTTAGAAACAGGTGTTAACACACACACATCACCTTCACTCCCACTTCTATCCACCCCATCCAGAACCCCATCTCTTCATCCCCCACAACAGTTTGGGGACGCCAACGCGGACACCTCATCCTCTACTGCGCCTCATCCCCGACACGAGAGGCCGTCGGAACTTCGCGCCATCACGTCAGCGGGTCAGTGGTCCCGAGAGGTGGCGGCGAGTCAGCTGCACGTGGCCTTGGCCGAGATCTGGGGCGTTCAGGCCACTCCAGTGGCTCGGATGGCTGCGCCAGCTGGAGTGTTTTCCGGATGCGAAATGGTGAGGTAGGTGATTTTGTCGCGCGTGTGGGGATTTGTCCGCAGACTCTCCGTGGATCGGACCTGCATGTTTCGCAAGAAGTCGATCTAGCCGAGTGCCAGCGGTTCGCACTCTGTGGATTTGAGAGATGAGAGATGTTTATCAACGAATCAACAGTCTACCAGTGCTGAACCGCTGGTGTCATCGTGGGGATCGTGTTTTTTTTGGTTTTTGTGCGGTCAAATTCACCCGAATGTTTGGCACCCCTAGGCGCTACGCAGGAGTTTCTGTACTTTGTTTTGTAAAACAACCCTGCAAGTTTCTAGAAGATACTCTACTCCATGTAGAAATAGGATTATATAATTGACACTTTTTTGAGGCTAGTTGTCAAATCTTCTAAGCACAGAATGAACAAATTCTACACAATGGCACAGGTTCTGTCCATGTGTGTATTTGATTGTATTTGGCAAAGTATGGAAAGCATGAGCCTATTGACATCACATGTCATTCCTTGCAGAGAATGTTTGTTGCAGAACCAGTTGTTTACATTGGACTGGGATCAATGGCATCCAACCTGCTTCCTTGGACCAACATGTCCAAGTCGCATGTCACATCCTCAAACATCCTCAATAACAGAACCTTTGACATGGCACAAGTAAAACTGAAGGTGAGATCCTGTGGATCAAAGATTCCAATCACATGGACTAAGTGGGTGGTTGACCCGAGATATTTCTTGTTTATATCCCTTCATCCCTTTTTGTTTGAGGAAGTGATGAAAGTGCTGAGCCTCAACTTCCACGATGCTGGAAGCCTCAGTGCTTGACCCCACCACACGCCAAATTATCTGAAGGCCTGAAGGGAAAACTCCCCACATTCAGACTGGACGTTGCCATGATTTACCAACCAAAATGCTGAGGCCTCCCAGCAGCCAGCATGGAAGGAAACTACTTTCTGGTGTACTTTAAGAACTTAAGCGCTTTCTTTGTCTTTAGTAGCTCACGGAGCCACTCCCAACAGAGAGTCTAAGAGGTCGACCATGCGCGTCGGAAATGAACACCAGAGATTCTCTCCCACGCGGTGCTGCAGGTTTCTACGGCACTATTACTTGCGGAGCAGAAGAAGCATGAAGAAGCACTTCCCACACAGTGTCGTACAAATATATAATGCTGGACCACCCAAGATGTGATGGCTCCAAGTTTTGGATATCCAGCTTTGCTTGAACCTGGAAAGCTCCAGTCCCTGCATTGGGACGAATAGTAGGGTCGTCACAACTGCGCCAGTAAAGTCAAGAGGACTGGGGGATGTGAATCTTGCTCTGGTTCTTTGCTTTGCTTCTTGACTTGTTTTTGCTCAGGGATTGCCAGACTCAAATCCAACCCAAGTAGTAACGCTCGAATCCACCCCATGATGCATTCTATTTTCTGCTTCCAGACTGAAAACAAGTCCGAATGAAGCATGAAGGCTAGATGATATCTGCAGACATTTGGGGAATCACCTACTAATGGTTCAGCCCGTGATCCACCAGGAAACCTTAACCATTAAGCATGGGCGAACCAGCTACCGCCCGATGAGGCCAGCGGCGGTGAAGATGTCTACATCGACATCCGCGCCAAGCAGAAGCCCGAGCGGACCAACGAAGCCGGGCAACCTCAGCGCCATGGACGTTGCATATAGGAAGCATATATGGACCTGGTTTTGTGATAGTTTTTGCGGACCAGGTGATTATTCTATTTTCCCGAACTAGGTAAATCCCCCTTGTGGTGAAGAGTGTTTTTGTATTTTTTGCGGGTTCCTGGACAGCAAATCCAAGTGCTGGTCACAGGGCGCCGGAGAGTGGGTCCATGTGTTCCTCACCACTGCGTTTGTGGTGACTACACCGGCTGTGAGTCGAAACTTGGATCCCGGAACTCACCCTGGTAGGTCGACCATGTGTGGTAAGCCTCTTCCGTTGATGTTCGCTGGTCAACGCGGTCAACGCGGGGAGTCTGGTGCCATGACCCACAGGCATAATATGACACGTTCGCTACAGGGCTGGCACGGACTCCTCCCAACTCATTTGGTGGCAGAGATGGATTGAACATGCATGAACATGCATCTATGCAGAATGTTGCTTTCTATTCCGCTTTGCTGCTTGGCAGCTTGGCATTCACGGCGATCGCTTCGTTTCGTCTTGTTTGGTACCCGCAGATCCTTTGGGGGTGGCCTTATAAGACTCGGGTCCTTTGTCCGATGCCTCAGGTCCTGCAAAGTTGTTGTCAGCGCACTGCCGCGCTCCTGGCTCAGCAGGGATCCCCAGGGAGAAAGGGCCAAAGGGCACGCCAGGGCTGTTGGGTTGCGATCTTTTGGCGACCCAGATAAAGGAGGACAGAGAACCATTTGTTCTCCAAGCAAGTCAATATCATGAAACCACCACACGAAGCATACTGTGAAGCAGGTGTAGAGGTGGGTGTCCAACTTCCGGTTAGTTAGATCTATGGAAGCACGGGTGACCTGCAAACATATTGGATTGAGATTCCACTGGTTTAATGCTATGAACTAGACATGACAGGACTTTATCTATTACTACAGTATATATATATGTCTTTGTTTTTTCATGTTGCTGCTGTTTTTTGTTTGTGTCTTGTTTATTGTTGCTGCTGAGTTTCTGGTACATGCTTTGTTTGTTTTGGCACATCCTGGCCAATTTCTTACTTGGAGGCTTCGCAGGGCAAAGTTAATGTAGGTGGGTGTGATGGATGGATTTCAAGATCGTTTAAGTTTGATTGCTTTTGGGAGGTAGATGTTGCATTTACTTGGTATCTGCAAGAGTCATGAAAGGTGTACGGATGTGTATCTCAGATTTGACCAGTTTCCTGAGTGATCAGCATCATCATTTCGTGATCCGCTGATGCAGCCTGCGGGCATGGGGCGATGAGCTTAGGGCCTCCAAGAGGTTCACAACTTGGAGGGTATGTTCCAAAGTACATCGATTATCCTGGCACCCCCCACCTGGTGGGGTAGACCCCATCTAGTGAGGCATTGCCAACATGCTAGCTGCTAGGGGAATGCAAGAACGCAGCATTGCCGGGAAGCTTCCATTGCGAATAAGTCTTGAATCTGTTCGGGGAATCAATGAAAGCAAAAAACAGTGGCGCAAACAGCACACAAGCAAACGCAACTTCCGCATCACCATGTTCCCTTACGCCAGGCACGGCTATTCTTCCAAAGTGCGTCTTGAGACCTACGAGCCATCTTTGCAGTTCAGCGCGACCAGCGAGTGAAGGCATTGGCCGAGAGGGCGCATGAATTGTGGCCTCAAGAGCCACGTAGCGCAGATGTGCCACATTTAAAAGTGGTGCTGAAACAAACGCATACGGAGGAGGTCCATGGTCCGGTCGTCAGGGTGGTTGCGGACAGCCGACCTGGAATTTCTAATGTACGGGTATTGTATAATAATTATCCTGGAAATGCAGATTATGTCACCCTCTACAGAGAAGTATAGGGCAGTTCATTTTTTGATACATGGGAAGATCGAATGTCGAGCTCTTAGGGTTTGTAATTTTGGGTTTGTACCACGTATTGGTTACACCGACTTCGGGTCACAGAAGGAGTATATACATTGCTCAGAAGACTTTTGGCTTGGTCAAGCGTTGGTCAGTCGTGGACTTGTTTGGATACAGCCCTGAGGCAGGATGCCAATCAACTTCAAACACCCCAATCAACTGGTCTGAGAAGATGGGAGAATGACAACTGCGGAGAATCCGATGGATGGTGCGCTGTCCCTGTGAAGCTACGTTTCAACACCGTGGAGGCATCCTCCCAAGTAGGATTAGGTTGGATTAATTAGGGGATTCGTATTTCTTACACCTTCTCTCCATGAAAAAGACACATTTCACCCAGTACCGCTACCCAGCAGCTTCGTTTCGCAGCTTTGCGCCGTTGCGTGCCTCGGTTGCTTGGGGGTTTTGCTCGCGCTGCACCGGTGGGACCCTTCGCCCCTTCGGCTCCTTGCAAGCGGGGTCCGGGCCGAACGTGCCGGCGATGACGGGCACCTTGGGTGCCACGGCCGAGGAGGTGGGCTAGGGATGTACAGGGTCATAGTGCAGCGGGTTCTGGAGTGTTCTGACATAGTTAGAGTTGCGGTGCTGGTGGTGCTGGGTGGTTGAGTGGCGGTGCTAGTGGTGGAGTTGCCCTGGCTGAGGCAGACATGGACACCCGAGGAATGGGCGCTTAGGACAACAAATGATGTGACTCCCAAGATATAACTCTTTGGGACGTGATGCGCGATGCCATGCCAGTTGCATATGATGGATGGTGATTGAAACGGAAACGCAGTGGTCGCGCTGTGTGACTCATGTCACAGAAACCAAACTCACCCACGTTTCCGCACTGTTCCGCTCGCCGCCCGGAAGGGGAACGGCTCCACCTTGCGCCGGGATGCGGCTGGAACACTGGAGGGCACGCTTGGGATCCCGAGAGAACCCACGGATGCATTGCACCGGCGATGTGAGTCACCCAAGGCGTGGAGTGGAGTCCACAACTAATGGTGGGAAGTTTGCTTGGACTGTTGGTTAGATAATATAGATAGGTTTGGAAGCTCGTACTTGCTGAGCCTTCTGTGTCTTAGTCTTGGGGCTCCTAGACTTCCCAGAATGAAGGCACATCAGCGGAGGACAGTTTTGGACTCTGGGACACTTTGCGTATATAGAAGACGTACTCACTGGAAAGGACATGTGGCACCTCCTCAACTGCCCACTGGGTCTTAGAAGACCTGCCACATCAGGCCACATCTTTGCTGTCATTGCTTGCTCTTGGTATCGCGCTTGGGGACTTTTTATGACTTTTTGGTATATCCCAGCTTTACCAATAGCGTGTGCGCGGCAACAGGTTCCAACATATTCCAGCATATACAAAACAATTCTAATCCATCATTCTATTCCACGTTTTGGGCTTGTGCCATCTACTGCTCGTGCACGTAATCCTGCATGGGATTCGCACCGATAGAAATGGGAGTTCCGACGTACGAGGGGTACTGCTCCGAATCTGTGGTTGATCAAGAGCATCTTGGATGCTCCAAAGGTGCGCGCGTTCAGCAAGCTGCTGGCGAATCGTTGCATAGTTTTTGAAGACTTTGAAGGGTCATCATGGTTGGATCATGCGATCTGCAATTGTTGAACAAAGGGTCGACCGTGTGGAGAGCAGAGCGTCTGAGGCTTAAGGAAAACTTTGGTGCCTCTTTCCAGGATCATACGATGCTCAAGGCGTGCTTGGGGAGGTAATTCCGATGCTTAGGGGTTGTGAGTTCGAAAGATTTTCTGCAAGTGCTGCCCCTCAGCAATCTCCAGCTCAGCTGCAATTTTGGTACGCTTGTGTTTCTGTTTGTTTGACATGTTTACCTGACACCAGACCTACAATGTATGGTATTTGCAAAACTGAGACATCTCAAGATCATATATAGACATGTTTCTCATCGCCACTGTCTATATATATATATATATATTGTTTCAAAAATACATATAACGCTGCGGGATCTTCGATATGATTCTCCACAGAGTGTGTAATCATATATGTTTGATATTGAGGTATTTGGAGCTGCGACCACTGCCTGTCTACATGCTGAATACCGCTCCACCCACTGGACGCCCCGGTGTCCCACAGGCCACGACCAATCCGGGCCTGGGCGGCCTGAGCGAACCCGAAGTGGTTCCCAGCGAAGATGCGAAAGTCGCCCTGAGGCACCTGGGACGACTGACCGGAGATGGTTGGAATTCCGGGTGACGGTGAAAGTATATAAACATATACACCCGGGAAGAAACCCACATGGAACCTGAACATGGACCAGATTGGAAGACGATTTTCCTCTACAATCCGACGTGGGTTTTCAGGTTCCATGTTGATCTTCCCCCGCGTAAGATTCATTCTGGGCACTAGCCCAATCATCATCATATTGTCATCAATCATCATTGTGAATTCTGGTCAGATTGGTGTGGGGAGGACCTCTTGGTTGTGGCGGCAGTAGAGTCCTGTAGGCCTCCGGCAGGATTCTGTGCTGTTATTTTTTGGCGGAAAGAAAGCTTGTTCTGGGGCTCGCATCGGAGAGGACTATTTACTATGTTATTTTAAAGGAACAAAGCTTGCTGAGAGAGGTTCTGGAAAGATACAGCCTTTAGGTTGTCAGAGTCATAACCCATATTTGTTGCCTTTTTTGTTGGATAAATGAATCCAGTAAATCCAGCTTCACCCGCAATCACACTCCAAATCACTCCAAGTTGTTCGCAAACACACACTTACTTACTTCTTACTAGTAACATAGTAGGATTTTCTCCAAATGATTCAAGAGGATGTTCCTTGACAAATCGTTTGCCAATTAATTGTTTATTGCACCTCGACCAAAGCTGATACATTGCTAACTAAAACTCAACTTACTAAGACTTCCTTTTTCCCCAAAAGTAGGCAGAAGAGCACTAACCTCCCTGAATCCCCTTTCAACATCCATCTATCGAACAACCTAGAAACATATCGATTTTGGGGCTTCCCAAGCCGTCACCCCTGCGCTTCCAGGCGCTGCCGCGAGTTGTTGCGCACCGTGCCACTCGAGGAGCGGAGTTTGCGTAGTGTTTGTGTGTAGACATCATCATCAAGTCCTTAAAAACCTCATTGAGGATGTTAAGGAGGTTGATGAGTATAATTGTTTAAAAAACCTGGCTCTTAAAACCTCATTGAGTATACTGTACTCTGTTTTCGTATCAACTCCGGTAAACAAAGAAAGGTCTTTCGACCTGTATACCGATCGCTTTGGGAGCCGCAAATAACGGACAGGTCGGTCCGGACGGCACAGAGATCGGTCGCTTGGGAGCGGAGAGGATGTGGTTTTCCCGGACCCGGACGCTCGCTGGAAGTTTCCCCACGGCGAAGTCAGAATCCAATGAAGTGAGGCGACCTCCAATGGAGGCAATGCCGCTGCCTACACATTGAATCACTTCGCATTTTTGGTTTATCTATCGAATACAATATATATATATATTTGAATGTTACATAAAAAAAGATCCCTCTATTAATTACCTCTCTATTTTGCTATTCTTATACTGATACATCCAAGTTTCTTCGCGGTGTGGACTGTCTGACGCTGCTGTGGCCGCACGCTGCACGCAGGACTTCGGCGCCAATGAGGACCTGTCCGACTCCCCAGCTCCACGAGGGGAGGTTCCCCCTTTGGTGGGCGAAACGGGGTGCTCTTTTTCTTGGGGGGGAAATGGGATGATGGGCAGGTGGGGATTCAGTATTTTTCTTGGAATTTGGCGGGGATGGTTGTTTGAAACAGGGAGTCCCACATCAGCAGGGGCACAAGGTTCCCCCCTTTTTGAGCAAGAAACTGGGCGAGCTGGTCTGAGGGGGCAACGGATCGTATTGGACCTTGAGAGCCAGGCTGTGCGTACACCAAAAATCAAGAAGACTCGCCAGTTTGGCCCCATAGGCCCATAGGCCATAAAAGGGGTGTTGCCTAGAATAGAAGAACGACACATAAAAAATAAGCAGCTGAGCTAAGAAACCTGCTGAGAAAGACACAGCCAGCTTCTTCAGTTCGTGACCTTTCTTGAAGTCCTTAAAAGTGACCATGTTACAGACCTGTTGCTTGACCTGAAACCAGGGCATCAAATTCGGTCACTTGGAAGAACCAAAAGGAGTGTTTCACACGGCCTAAACAGGGGTGTTTCAAACCAAAAGGGGTGTTTCATAGATGCCACCTAAATAGCAATTCACCGACATCCCAGGTGGCTTCCGCCTGCTGAAGGACTGGAAGGTGGGAGGGAACAACTCGACGGCGGAGACTTGGAGGTTCAGTCGGAAGACTTCAAGAGCTTCCAACCCCCAAATGGCACACCCAAATGAAGGCTGCTCAGCATGCTTTTTGTAAGTATACGTTGTAAGGTCTTTTGGTTGGGCCAGCAAGCCTTCCGAAAACCATCCAGTGGGGGTTGATTGAAGCACACTGAAGTCCGCTGCTGGGCCGCTTGGGTATGTGTTGTTTTGTGTTGTTTGCTGAGGAGACCACTGAAGTGACACCACCAGAATCCGAGGTCAGAACGGTGTCGAACCAGGTTCAGAATGTCTTCCTTCACAAGGCAAAGGTTTGGTATGGTTTGGTTCATCCAGGGGGTTGATACTATTATTTGGTTGAACTGTTTCTGTGTTTTCTTTCCACCAAGGCGCTCCCTCTTCCCCCACCCATACCAAGTCACTAGCCAACCACATCTTGGTTTAGGTTCTTTCCCCCCCACCC